CTTTACTGTGCACAAGGTTAGGTTTTGTAAAACCTAAACTGCAAAATTAATTAATTTTATTTTGTAACTACCATTTGTGGCACATCATGGTACAGTTTTCAAAAACATCCAAAGCTCTTGATGCTTTGTCATTGTTGTGCAGAGACGGCCTTTGTGTTGTTTCAGTCATGTAGAAAATGTTCACTAACCTATTCTGTGTTGTTTTGTGCAAGTAGAATGGGGAGCTGAATTTAAAAGGCAGAGACTTAAACTTATTAAATTTGTTCCTAACACAGAGCCAGCAAGTAAATTCAACAACATACTATCCTAATACGTAGCATGTGATACTGCTTTGAGCTTCTTCTCGCAGATCTGTTCACATCGTGCAAAAAAATCACAATGACCTCTGTTCTTTTCAGCAGTGACAGAGCAGTGACGGTCTATGATTTTAATAGCTCCTTACTGGCATTGGCATAGCCATGGATGGTGGCTGGGGTCAGCATTCATTCATCTTTAACATCACTCTGAGTTCTTTGCTAGCTTAGTGTCAGTATACTGTATATGCAGGTGCTTGCGAACACCAGAAGTTGTGTTAACAGTGTAATAAATTTTTTCTTTTTCTTTTTTTTTTTCTTCTTCCTGGAGCAGTCTCCACTTTTTATTGCAGGATGACAGCACAATGGCCTATCTGCTCCGTAGCAAGCCCTTGCACAGGGACCTGGTATTTCAGTAGCATGGGTAGATTTTTCATCCACATTCATATGGCATTATTTTTGTGCCACTATTCTGAGCGCACGTAAAAAAAAATTGCAGGTGTTGCATTTTGAGAAGAAACTTATTTTGAGCGAAAAAAAGCTAAATTTGAGTGAACAAAATTCATTGCTGTGCAAAAAATGTATTTCAGTGTTTGCTATTACACACACACACACACACCAGCAGCCCCTCTCGCTCTCAACATTTCTGCCCGTGCGCGCTCAACTCTTTCTGTACGCCGTTATATTTGTGCCACAAAACCAGCCAATCACAGA